GATCCAGAACTAGTGAAACTTGATTGGAATTCAAAGACACTAACTCAATTAAAATGCAGTTCTCCTGTGCAGTGAGCTTCAGGACATGCTGGAAGAACTGGTCAGGTTCCCTGGTACCAACCTCTGTAAACACAGAGGCCAGTGTAAGTGAGGGCGAGCTGGGGCCGGGCTAACTGCAATTACCCTGCTTCCATAGAGTTACCCCTCTTCACTCCCCAACGGGCAGCAGCGTGTGGGGAGCTGGCGCCCTGCAGCACGTCCACCAGAACAGCAGCAAAGCCTGAGGAACTGGACGCTAAGGCCACGCAAACAGCCACATGCAAGTGGCACCTACCGGCCCACCTTTCAGCAGTTAGTCCAGGAGTCCCTCAAGTTTAAGACACAAATTCACTGGCAATCTAGACTAACCAGACCAGCTCCTACTAAGTTCCTTTAGATTTGTGGAGTCTTTATTGAAGCACGAAGCATGTTTAGTGGCCAATGTAGGAAGCAATGGGGTCTCCCTGCATTCGAGCCCCCTCTACCCATCCTCCCCATTCAGAAATTATTCAAGAGCCACCAGTCTCCAACTGGCTGATGACACCTCAGCCTGCAGACTATTTTCACACTTGAGTTATAATAAACCATTGCTATGAAGATGAATAGAGGACAGTTTAATAATCTATTGCCTAGAGCAGTGGTCAGCAACTCATTAGTCAACAGAGCCAAATATCAACAGTACAACGATTGAGATTTCTTTTGAGAGCCAAATTTTTTAGACTTAAACTATATAGGTAGGTACATTGTTATTACCTTAATTAGGGTACGCCTAAGCTGGCCTTTGCTAAAAACTCAAGGGGCCAAAGAGTCATATGTGGCTCACGAGCTGCAGTTTGCCAACCAGGGCTAGAGAGCGTTTGTAGTCCAGCATTAGGATACAAAGTCCAAAATTCTGTAACACAGGCCAAAGCCAAATTATGTATGTACTAAAGGCCTGGTGCAAAAAATGAATGCACTTGGCCAAGCGGGGGTGGGGGTAGGGGGAGAAGGTTCCTCAGACCAGATTGCAGATTGCCAGAGGGCATAGGCCAGGCCAAGGAACCCCACCAGTGCACAATCGGGCCGGGGAGGGACGCAGCAGATTGGCCAGCTAGGGAGGGACCACAAGAGGGCACAGGGCATGTCCAGCCCTCTCGCCCAGTTCCAATTGGCCAGACCCTAGCAGCAAGCTAACCTACCGGTGGGAGTGTCTGCCTGCTGGTGGTCGGTGCTCGTCATAGTGAGCAGTTGAGTGGCTTTAGAATATCATTAGCACATTATGCTTTGATTGGTTGAACGGCTGGCTGACTGGACATTTAGCATATTAGGCTTTTATTATATAGGACTAGAGGCCCGATGCATGAAATTCATGCAAGGGGGTTGGCCCTCACAGCCACAGTGGCTGCTCTCAGCTTTTGTAGCCGCTGAGGCAGCCCCGGCTTCATCCAGAAGGTCGTTCGGCTGTCTGGTCTAATTGGCATATTATGCTTTTATTATTATAGATTATTATAGATGAGAATTACAAAGGAATTCTCCATTCCTGAGCTACACTGCAGTACAGAGGGGGAATCTATTGTTTGCCTCACTCCAGTTGTGCACTCTAGTCACTTGCTTGCTAACTAAAAGACTCTTTTTGCCTTCAAATTGGAATTCAGTAATTCAGTACCAGGCTCTATTCCATCCCCTTCAGCAACCCCAAGACTGCCCAGGAATCTCTACTCAAGTTCTGACAGTCCACCTACCCACGCTACTAAAGTACTAGAACCTACAATTTCTGATTCATTTCCCTAAACAATGAATGGTTTTCTTTCTAATACTGACTTTACTACAAATAGATCAAACAATGTGTAAGCCTTCCAACTACTTGGCTCAAAGAACCAATTCACCCAAAGAACACACTAGTCACTGCTGTGTGGTTCAGAAGAACACGTCCAGGAGGGGCCCTGCCAGTGGACAACCTGGTCAAGGTGAGGTGGGAAGTAGCTGACTACTGGAAATGAATGGCCCCAACAAATGGCAAAAGGCAGTTGCATCCCTTGGTTACATGGAGTCCAAAGACACAGACAGAGTGGGCCTGAGCCCACCACAGTCATTTATCTGATATGATCCACCGAGCGAACTTTCGGCACCAACCCACATCTCAGCTGAGCGTTACAAGTCACTAGGCAAACTGGACATGAGTAGAAACACTGCAACATAACACCCACCTCCCTGAAAAAACAACTTTAAACTTAGATCTCCATTGTCATCTTTACAGAACAACAGGAGCACGTTACCATTTGCCCACCCTCACCCCTAAATTCATGCATAGCTGGAAGCAAAGGAGGATTCAAATACTAAAACATACTTGGGGTACTTGTCATACAGTTTTAAATAGTAGCATACAGGCTGTAAGGAAGAAGGTATGCTCTCAATTATGAAGGTTGAGATTTACCTGCCAGAAAAAGCCCACGTGACTTCAGCCACCTCCTTTCCCATTCTCAGCTGGGTGACTGCTTTATTCAAGTTGCAATAGCCCATCAGTAGCTCCTCTAGGAAAGGCAGTAGGAAGGATCAAAAGGAGCACCCATCTTGTTCTTACGTGCCCACCTATTGTGAGCCCAGCCCCTCCTCTCCCACTGGGCGCTCTTCACTCTCCCCTTTGCTCACGGCTCTGAGAACTGCTCCCCACTCCACAACCCTCCACCTCCCCTCCTTCCCGTCCCTCCAGAACCTGCCTCGGCCACTCCTGCTAGGTCCTGCCTCTTAGCAGCGCTTTTTAGTTAAAGCTCAACTCAGTGTCACCTCCTCGGAAAGGTGTTCCTGCACTGCACGCCATCACTCTGCATCACCACTCGTTTTCGTTGGCTTCATGGAAATCTGGCTTACATGCCTTTTTATTGTGTATTCCCGCCCGGAACCTGATGTGCGATTCCTAAGAGCGGACATCACGCATGTGTTCGCCTTTGTATGCCCAGGGCCCCCAACACCAGCTCAGCCTGTAGCCGCTCACAAATGCTTCTTGAATGAATGAATTTTGGACATTTTATTCAATGACTCCAGATCAACTAAGGTGAGAGCAGCAGCCATCCTTTCGTTGTTTCTGTGAAAGACCTCAACATGCTGTTACTTGTAAAATCAAAGCATTACATTGTTTTATCAGACGCGGAGGAGTAGGTTAACAGTTCTCACATCAATATGCTCTCCCTTTAACCTAAGGAGCCCCAAAATTAGACACTATCTCTTAAAGTTCTTCAGAAAACAGTTCCAGGTTCAACAGAGGATTTCCAAAGAAAATATCAACAACGAAACAGGAGCCATCACCGTCACTGTGAAAGCCGGGTGGCAGGCTGAAGGGGCACATTTCTTGGTGTATGTTTGTCTGTTCTGTATGTTTTTTTTAAAGCCAACAGAACAACAATAAAGAGACCTTTTTCCCAGTCATTCTTTGCTTTCTTCAAGTAATTTTTTCACATCTGTTGTTGGTTTCTTTTCTTCTTTAAAGCAAAACTAAACAGGTCACATTTTCTCATTTAAGGTCACCTATACAAAGAAAATCGGCTAAATAAGATGGGAATCAGAACTAGCCGAATGTGTCCCTGAAACCTTGTGGGCCAGACACAGATAGGGGGTGGGGGGAAGGCGCTACTGTCCAAGGGTAGAAACAGAAAAGTAATATTGGGTTTTCTGTTCTCTGAAATGCCGTGAGGTGTGGGTGGAGAGAAACAGAATCCAGAATTAGCCTGACATCAAGCCATTCTGGAAAGAGTTGGCACCATGCACATTCCTCACGCGGAAAGTATTCGGAGCAGCAGACTGATTCCGGGCCGGGCCGCTCAGGAATCCACCGGGAAGGCCCCTCTGGCGGAGGGAGCTCCGGCCTGGGTGCTCTCCACGTGGCAGCCTGTGCCCGAGCACTTACAAAGCTGCCTTTACCGGGAGTCCTGGATGGAGGCTGAACCCCACATCCAAAGGAGGGGGAAAGGCACCGAGTTCCATAAAGAAAAACACACACCTCGATAACCACAGAGAACTGCCGTGGCAGCCAGGGCTGAGTTGGGGAATGGGGGTAAGACGTGAAGGCAGGGGGTAAGGGGTGAGGGCAGGGGGGAGGTGAGGGCAGGGGGAGGGAGTGAGGACAGGGGGTAAGGGGTGAGGGCAGGAGTTAAGGGGTGAGGGCAGGGGGAAAGGGGTGAGGACAGGGGGAAGGAGGTGAGGGCAGGGGGAGGGGTGAGGGCAGGGGTGAGGGAAGGGGGGAGGGGGTGAGGGAAGGGGGGAGGAGGTGAGGGCAGGGGGAGGGGGTGAGGGCAGGGGTGAGGGGGTGAGGGCAGGGGGAGGGGTGAGGGCAGGGGGAGGGGTGAGGGCAGGGGGGAGGGTGTGAGGGCAGGGGGGAGGGTGTGAGGGCAGGGGGGAGGGTGTGAGGGCAGGGGGGAGGGTGTGAGGGCGGGGGGGGGGGTGAGGGCAGGGGGGAAAGGGTGAGGGCAGGGGGGAGGGGGTGAGGGCAGGGGGGAGGGAGGAGGGCAGGGGGGAGGGGAGGAGGGCAGGGGGAGGGGGTGAGGGCAGGGGGAGGGGGTGAGGGCAGGGGTGAGGGGGTGAGGGCAGGGGGGAGGGTGTGGGGCAGGGGACAAGCAGCACGTTTGTCACGCCGCCCTTTACAATTCAGGATTCGGGCAAAGCCTTCCCACCTCCTACCCCGGCCGGATGGCGGTCCCACAGCGAAGGGCAGAGGAAGGCCTCGGTCGAGCCCCTCCACCGGCTGTTACTGATTAGAGGGCGGGGCGGGCGGGAGGACCGGCGGGAGGGAGCGGGTCCCCCCGCCGCGCTCACCCACAGGACGGCCCGCACCGGCGGCGCTGGCGGAGGCGGGGCCGGGCCAGGTTTCCGGCCTCCTCTCCCCCCGGAGCCAGTCCGGACGAGGCGCCGACTTCCACTCCCCGGCCGCCCTCGCGGGGACCACCCGGCCCTCAGCGCGCCCTCCTCCTCCATTCGGGCCCGACACTCACAGTTGCTCCAGAGGTTCCTCCAGGGAAACCCTTTCTGGCGAGGACGGCGGCCCGGCGGGTCCAAAGCACCTACCATCCCCGCTCGCGTTCCCAGACTCCCGGCTCCGCCGCCGCCGCCGCCGCCTCAGCCGCCGCCACCTCTTCCCCGGCGGCCCACCGGCCGCGGCCGCCCCGAAGCCCCGCCCCCCCATCGCCGGCGCAGCATCACTTCCGGTAACCCCGCTGCCGCGGCTCCGAAGAGGAACAGAGGGGCGGGGCGGGGCGGGGCGTGCGTCACGACGTGCGCACGTCGGGAGCGTCGCCGAGGGATCGTTGTGAGTGCACAGGCCAGGCCACGTGGAGGCGGGCGGCGGGCGTTGGGCGGAACCACCGGGGCCGGGGGCGGGCGGCGCGCGGGCCGGGAGGGGCGGGGCGCCGGGGCTCCGCGGCGGCGGGTGTGCGGTTCTAGGGGCTCGGCGGCCGCAGACCTGGTCGGCTCTCCCGTGTCCGCTCGCGCTGCGGCCCGGCCGCTGGGCCCGCCTGGCGTGCGCCGCGCTCCGTGGGCGCCCGCGCGGCCTCTTCGCGGCGCGCGGCGTCCAGCGCTTCTGAGGGGAGGGAGCCGGACCGGCGCGGCGTGAGTGCGGGGACGGGACGCGGGCTCCGGCGGAGACTGCGGGGCGGCCGGGCTCCGGCGGAGACTGCGGGGCGGGCGGGCTCCGGGCGTCTGGGGTGGGGCGAGGGGTCGGCGTCGCTAGGAGACGCGCCTGTGTGACCCCAGCCTGGCGGGGCGGGCGGCCGCGGCGGGAGGCGCCCTGGGCCCCTGGGCGCCGGCGCGGATGGGAGACCGCGGGGCCTGGCGGGCGGAGCTGGCCGGGACGCGGGGTCGAGGCCGCCTTTCTGGGGCCGGGAGAGCCGCGCCGTCCCCGCGGGGCGCCCGGGCTGCGCGCCGCGGCTTCATTGGCGGCCGAGAAGGCGAGGTCAGTGGGAGGAGGCCGGCAGCCTGTGCCCGAGACCGCGGCGCCGGGGGTTGCGGAGGGGAGCGCCGCCACACCTGCAAGGTGGCTGCGAGGAGAGGAAACGGGCCGGGGGCTTTCTGGGGGAGCCGCAGGGAGGGCCCCCGGGGAGCGGCGGGGAGGGGCCTGCGGCCGGGACGGGGCCCTGGCTGAGCGGGCGCGGGAGGAGGAGCGGGCTCCGTCGAGCAGCCGTGGCCAGGCCCGGTCTGTGTTTGTCCCGGAGGTTTAGGGGCGGGGGTGCCGGCCCAGACTCAGGCTCAGAACGCACTGGGGCTGCTGGGTGTTGGGCGGCGGCCGCCCGGAGCCAGGGAGGAGGCGGTGCTGCAGCCGCCGTGGGAATGGAGAGCTAACTTCACAGCGCGCTTTGTTTTGTTTTGTGTTTAAAAGAGAACATTTATTTTAAAAGTTACAGAGACAAAAGAAGAGCCCTTGGAACGTGAGAGCGATCATGGCAAAGGCACCCTCTTTGGAGGGGCTTCGGAGGGGGACTTGCTGAGCCGCCGCGGGCGGGACAGGAGGGGGACCCGCGCTCCCTGTGAACGCAGTGGACCGGGTGAGTGCTCCTGACCCGGTGGAGATGCTGAGAAGCTGCGTTTGCGGGGCAGGGAAGGCACAGGCCGTGAACACAGGCGGGGACTGGCTTCCAGGTGGCCTGGGCTCCGCACTCCGGGGGCTCTTGACGTTGGAAATTACCCGCGAAGGAAACACGGAGGCCCCTTAATATCCTGGAAAAGGGGCCCACTCCGGCAGCGTCTGCTCCCCCTCCAAGCCCCCGCGGTGCTTTGGGACTGGTGCCCCGTGTTGGGCTGTGTGTCTCAAGCCAGCCTGGCTTGGCTTGCTGTGTGTCCCCCTCAGACGAGGCTTGGTATCCTGGCTCCTAGTGCCCACGGGTGGCCCGCTGGGTGGGAGCAGTGTTCCTGGGATGCCAGCCGCAGCCCAGCAGCTTCTGCAGGGGTTTTGGGCCCTGCTGCCACCGCATCTGGTGTGGTCAGTCTCATCACATCGGAACAGGGAGGCCTGGGCTCAGCCTCGTCTGCGGTGCCGCCCAGAGGCTGGGGAGGGGGGGCCAAACAGTGCTGCCGGTAAACATTGTTCAGCCACTTACTAACATTTAAAAAGTGGGCATTTGAGGCGTTGTTTCCCAGCATGTTGTCAGTTTGGCTCAAATAAACATAAATTTTTTAAATAAATAAAAATTGGACATTGAAATCCAGATTTTCAGCTTCATTTGAAAAAAGATTATGTGGCGGTAGCAGCAGCCGGAGTTCCTACCCGCCGCCAGAGTTCTGCTGCTTTCCTGTGTGTAGTGCCCTCCCCTCCCCTCCCCCACCCCCCACCTACCTGACCCCCGGACATGGGTGTGCGAAGTGGGTGGAGAGCTGTGCAGTCCGCATGGAGCCACCGGCTCCCTGCAGCTGGTTACGTCAAACATCAGGTCCCGCTCCTCCGGTGCTCTCACCATGGCTCACTGCCACGGGCTGCCCGTGCCCAGGGGCATTCAGTCTGCGGTGGAGCTGGGCGGTCCTGGTGCCAGTGGTCTCACTGAGACGGACAGTCGTTCCCACGCGAAGGAAGGACCTTTGTGTGGGAAGGAGCTCGTGCCTCGAGCTGAGCAAAGTGGATTTGATGGTGAGGGTACCTGGGAACTACCATGGCAGGAGGGTCCTGCCGCGGGGAGGCATGCACCAGATGGTGGGTCAGCCTCGGGGCTGGAGGGCCAGCTGTATCTAATGTTAGGGGGAAAGTACTTTTTCAGTTTCCTAACCAGATCCTTAGAAATCAATCCGGAAGGAGGGATGTGAACATTCACTTAAATGTAAGTGTTTGGTTTGTGGACTTCCCTAATTCCTGTGATGAGTTACAATCCCGAGTAGCTATGAATGAAGGAGCGGGTTTGATCGTTGGCATGGAGTTGGTCTTTATCTGTCTCCAGCCCACACACACTTCCCAGCTCCACTGACTGACCCCTTACCTTGTCTTCACCTCAGAACACGCAGATAAGGACCAGCTTGCTTTATTGCCTGGAAGTCAGAACGTTGGTTTGAGCTCCAGGCAAAAAGGATTGCTATCCTGGAGGGGGAAACAGCTGAAATGTCCCAGATACAGTAGCCTGTGGTGTCCCCTTACCAGTGCAGTCTCGTGTGTTCCCTGCCTGGTATATTTAGAATGGGTGTGCTTAACCCATGACATCTTGTTTGGGAGAGTTTAAGTCTCCAGACGTCAGTAGTTCTGTTTTTCCCTGTGTTCTAAAGATTCCCATATTACAGGGCCTGTCCTTTAGGTAAACTAAAACATGACCTGCCCTCTGTCCCTCATAGCAGTTGTGTGAGTTGGGACCTCCATTGTCGCTTTCTTTGTAAAAGACACTGTTCAGAAAGTAGCTATGATGTGATTGAGTATGCCACACAAGCTTTGAGATTTGCAAAACTGGGTGGCATTTATTGTACTTCCCTTTTGTGGATTCCAGTAACCAAAGCCTGAACCCTGGCAAAAAAGTCTGGAGTGTATGTGTGTGAAGGGGAGGGAGGAGGCAGGGTGGTTGCCAGGTTGATGGAGGGCAGGAGGACGGAAGTGGAGGCACAGTTCAGCTTGAAGGCCATTGGTCTGAGTGAGGATGATGCCAACGGGATATGGATGTACACCAGAATGCAGGGAGGATCTCGGACCTGGGAGAAAGTGCCCTGAGGATGAACAAGGAGCAAGAGTAAAGGAAGGAGAATAGGAAGGAAGCTGACCCTGCTGCTGGTGTTGGCATCTGCGTTGTATTTCCAGTAGGAAGTGTGCTCTGCGGTCTGAAGATAAACGGTGTCTCCAGCAGGGCAGACATACGAACAATAGTCTGTACGAAAGGGGTTAGAATGAGCAGAGGGAATCAGCGTTAGGAAAACCCATTGCTACCACAAAGCAGCACGTCTGCATCAGGCCTCCGTTTCCTTCCTCTCTGCAGAGGGCTCAGCAGATAAATGCGGCCTGGCCTCCGTCCTCCTGCTCAGGTGGGTGTGCCCTGTTAGCGCCCCAGTGCTAAGTGTTTGCATGGAATATCTAATGAATGATTCTCACTACAACTCTGAAGGAGGTTCTATTGTCGCCCATTTTACATTTAGGAATATGGGGCTCTGGAAGACCCCCAGTGCGGAGAAGTCTGGATTTCTTAGTTTATTACTTGCATTAATCTGCCTCTTACAGATGTGGAAAAGCTCCAGACTGAGACAGGCATTACCTACTCTGCTGCCAGGGCCAACTGGCTTCAGTGTTCGAGCATGTCGGCTCCTTAGAGTTTCTTCAAATGAAAACTTTTGGGTTTAGTTTTGACTCCTTAATCATTTGAGTGTGATGAGCCCTATTTCCCAAAAGGATTATTAAAAAAAAAGTATTGAGAACCCCATTTTCCTTGTATGTTTGGTTCTAAGTTTCATAGAAACAAAGAACACCACTTTGGTCCAGTGGATGAACCCTAAGGGGCCTGAAATGAACTGAGGGAGGCTTCCTCCAGCCCTGCCTCTCACACTGCCTGCGTGGGATGGACAAGGCTCCTCCCCCGGAGCACGGAGCCCGCAGTGGCTCAGCACCAGCACTGTGGGGGGAGTTCGTGTTTCTAAATGCACCAGGCCTCCATGGGAAAACGGGGCCCACACGGCACCACCTTTCCAAGATGCCTCAAAGCCATGAGGTACGGGAAGAGAAGTTGGAGTGCATTCGTCCTGGGGAGGAAAATGCCCCAGGGGCAGGTCCTGAAAACGAGTTGTTCCGAACTTTGCTTTTCTGCCCTTGGTTTGTCTGTACACTGTCTCCAGTAGAAGGCAGAGCCCCCTGAGGGTTCAGCGTTGGGCATGTTGACATTCCTGAGACCAGAGTCGTGCTCTCAGTTTGTCGGAAAAAGGGGATGTGCATCTCTGCTCTTGGTGCCCGTGTTCATGCTGCGAGGCCTTCCACAGCGGGAAGGGCGAAGTGGGCAGCGGCTCCGGGCCTCAGGTAGGCCAGGGCCTGCATGTGCTGCATGAAGGGCGCTCCTGCTCCTGACGGTCCGTGGGGCCTGAAAGGTTGGTGACCGCTGCTCAGGACACCTGGGAGTTGGGTGGCTGGGGCCGGGGACACACACACACACACACACACACACACACACAATATAGCCATTCCAAGTGGAGGCTCCGCGGAAGGAATGTGTAGGCTGGGCAGCAGGTGCCTCAGGAGCAGCTTCCAAGCCCTCTCAGGCCCACGGTCACAGTTTGTACAGCTGTTGACCTGCTTATTAAACACGCTGGAATATTTTGGAATGCATTTATTTAAAGGCAGCTGTATCACTACAAAATGAAATTACTTTAAGTCATGGTTTGGTGGGCAGGAGAAAACATTTTTATTGTTCACCAAGAATCACCTCCCAGCCAATCTCCGGGCTGCCTGCGGTAGGGGAAGCTTCTCCGGCTACGACTGCGGCCGGTGCAGCGGCAGCCTCATCATCCTCATAATACAGCACCGGCTGCACCTGGCCTGCTGGTAACTAATTAGCTTGGGACTGATTTTAAGAAAATAGGCCCCTTTCCAAATCACAGTTTCTTCCATTCACACTTCATATCTTATTTTTTCTTATTCTGGGATTTGGGATTAAGGAGGTAAAAAGAAGCAGAGTTTAAAGAAATATCTACTATCTATATATATAAAAGGCTAATATGCAAAGTCCTTTGAGGAGTTTGACCTGAGACTGGGAATCCATTGCTTGCTGTGACGTGTGCTGACCACCAGGGGGTGGTGCTGAATGAAGGAAGGCCCCAAGCGGCCTGATTGCAGGCCAGGCCTAGGGATCTGACTACCCGTTCACAAATTTCATGCACTAGGCCTCTAGTCCAGCGTTTTTCAACCGCTGTGTGTGCCGCGAGATGTTGCCTGGTGTGCCGTAGGTGCAGACAAGACAAGAATTTTATAATTTTTCACTATTTTGTTTACTTAATATTTCATAATAAAGTAATTATAAAATACTTTCTTTGTGTTTATTTGATTCCTATTCAAGAGAATTACTTTATATATAGTCAATATAGGCACAGAGTTAAATTTTTTAACATTTTCTAATGGTGGCGTGCCTCGTGATTTTTTTCATGAAACAAGTGTGCCTTTGCCCAAAAAAGGTTGAAAAACACTGCTCTAGTCAATCATAAGAATGAAAGTTACAGAATTTTTACTGTAAAAATTATGTAAGAAGAGACTTAAGGCTGTTCATACTGCAGTTCGGTTGTGGGCCTCTGAACAGTTTCGCATTTCTGACGTCCTGTGGGAATCCTAGCAGACAGATCAACCCCTGAAACTAGGGAGGAAGGAAAAGGGCTGTCGGTTCTGCATCCGTGAGAGGTCAGCGATGGTTTGGGGAATAAATGTTGGTTTCCAGCCATTAAATCCATAGAAGGAAGGCTCCTAGGGAAAAGATACTTTTCTAAACAAGTTGCTTCCCAGGAACAGAGACAAATATAAATCAAAAGGATAATAACTTTATATATGGCTGATGATGTTTCTATTATAGAATCACAAGCTTCCATAGGACGAGATGTTCCTTTATTCAGCAGTCATCTGTTGACTAGCAGTTCTGCACCTTGCCAGGTGCTGAGCATTCAGCAGTGAATATGATGGATGTGGTTACTGTCTCCATGGAGATTACAGTCTTTGGGGGAAGACAGACATCTTAAGTGATCACTGCTACAACGGAGAAATACAAGTTCATCAGAGAGCCCTGATCTGCTGTATATGATAAGGCATAGGGGGAGGAGGAGAGATCATCCAAGACCTCCATGTTTTCAAAGAGAACTAAAGGATGACTAGGGGTGGTAAGGTACATGGGAAGGGTCAGGAGAGAGCCTTCTATATAGAATAACAGGTCCGTAACCCTCAGATAAGAAAGAATGAGTTCCCTAAAGAATTGAAAGATTCTAAAAAGAACAACAGGCACATTTTTTTCTTGCGCTCCTCCCTCCCCCCAAGAGTTCTCCATCCATTCCTTTTCTTAATAATTGAACCAGTAGGCCACCAGAGTCAGTATCCAACTGTCCTAGGAATAAAGCCTGAGGTCTGCTGACCACAGGATGTTGGTCAAGCTCAAGATAACACCTTTGCCTCAGATGGGTTTCAGCTGCAGGTCCTGAAACAGTGAGACTGGAGGGGCCACACCCTCAGAAACCAGACAAAGGCTCTGATGGGTAATGAGGGCCACGTCCACTCCTGTAGCCAGCACGATGGCTGTTTCCCATAACCCATTTCCTGGAAGCCCTGGGAGGCCAGGTCTTAGCATTAACATGCCTGTGACTGGGCCGGGCACCATTGCCTCGCCTATAAACCTGTCCTTCCTTTGCTGCAAACTCCTGTTCCCGTCGGATTGAGCGATGGAGGCGGGCAGGGAAACAGCCCCTCAGTCCAGTAACAGGCAGGCTTTCTGTGCCAGTGATGATGGGGAGGAGACGTCACCATCTCCCTTTCAGGTTTGGTCTCCAATACTCAAACGTTAAAAGTGCTTTGAAATGGCCTGCTAAGTACCAGTTGCTCAGCCTGTTACCAGCGGTGCCCTCATTACAGGCTCCTGGGTCAGGCGCCGGTGCGTGATCAGTCGCTGAGGTTTTTGGAGGAGAGGAGGAAACCAGTTAAATCAGACCTAGCAGGATGCTGTATGAACGTGCCCGGCTCTGCCTCCGGCCCTTTGACGGAGGTGAGGCAGTCTTCGCAGCCGTGGTGACAGACTCCCGCCCACAGGAACTGACTCAGACGGTCATGGGAAACAAGGAATTTGAGGGAGAGCCGGGAACTCGGGACCCTTTCCTCAGCAGGACAGCGCCACCATCGCACCTGGGTTGTCATTAACCCTGGCCACAGAGCATGATGCTCTTTCTCGGTTTTTGTTACTCCTTCTAAGCAATCTCTGAAGCATCGTGGACGTCAGAACCTTGACGTTCCCTCGGTCCATTCCCTTGTGAACTGGGTGAAGTCGTGCTTTCAAACTTTGCATCAAACAGCTAGCCTTGGCTCAGTCTTCGTTCTCGGGAAAGGCACCGCCGGGATGGGTGGGACGGGCAGTCATGGGTGAGAGACTCCCTGCAAGGTGACTTCCTGGTGAGCACGTGCACTTTCCGGCTGACACCTCCGGCAGGCTCCCATCTCCGTCCTCCAGCTGCCGAGTCCTCAGACCTGGGCTGCAGCACTCCATCGGCCCGGCCTGGCCAGCTGGCCGCAAGCCAGGGTCCCGGGGAGGAGGCCCCGGGCCTGGCCACCGCTCCTCTCTGACCTGTCCCCCTCTTGGCCTCCACGTGAGAGTCAGGCAGGGCCCATGCCCCAAGTCTGCCTAATGGGGTCCTCCAGGCGTGGGCTACCTCTCCTGATTTAAAATTAATAGCAGAGAAATAGGCTGAAGTTTTTTCCCAAGTAAAAGAAGAAAATACCTAACGCCCAGCAGCAGGAATGTGTACACGAGCGACTTCAAACAGTGGACTGAAGGGCAGTAAGAACTGATGAACTAGCTCAGTGGTCGGCAAACTGCGACTCATGAGCCACATGCGCTCTTTGGCCCTTGAGTTTTTAGCAAAGGCTAGCTTAGGAGTGCCCTAATTTAGGTAATAACAATGTACCTGCCTATATAGTTTAAGTTTAAAAAATGTGGCTCTCCAAAGAAATTTCAATTGTCGTACTGTTGATGTTCGGCTCTGTTGACTAATAACAGATGCCACTGGACTAGAGCTAAAGGAACAGCATGAGGGGCCTCACCTCACAGAAATGGGCAAAAAAAGCAAGTGACAAGAAGGCCAGGCCTCTCTCCGGCCCGCGGAGATACAGTGCTTAAACGTGTGAAGCAAGACTGTTGTCGCATTGACTATACAGGTGGTGAGACAAACCGGAGCTGGACTTGGAAGAGGGACAGAGGGGGTCTCAGCTATAGTTTGTCCTTTAAGGCTCATTGTGACTGTGGCTGTAATTACACTGCTCTCCGTGTTGTTTGGCACATCTGGAATATTGCAGGATATTCACAGGAATTTAATTTTTAAAATAGTTACTTTGGGGAATGCGTTTAGGTGGGGAAGCCAGGTTCTCTCCACATGAAAACATTGTTGTCTTAGAGTCATCACTGAGATTTTCACTCTGCACGCACAGTGCTGGGGGGGGGGGGGAGGAGGTGGGCAACAGCGCGGGGAACCTTCGCAGCAGGTGACGGTGAACGAAGGCGGCATCGAGCCTGCAGACCCCATTTGTGTGCCTTCATGGTACCCACATTTCCAAAGTGATGCATTCGTGTCTGTTTTGAGATTTCATCCTCTGAAGTCTGGAAGCCACCTGCTAAGCTATCTGGAAACCTGGCATCGCTAGGCCCTCTGGCTACTGGCAGCCACTGGCTAGACCGAGCAGCGCTTCCCCTCTAAGGGGGCGTGTCCTCGACTTTGGCCACTGTCCCCTGCCAGGTCCGCGCTGGCCCTGGAGGAGGCTGAGTTGGCCCTGCATGGGGTCCGGTCATGGGAACTGCCCGCTCCCGCACGGGGTTAGTGCAGACCACACAACACAGCGCACACACCGAGCCGCGTCCGCACTCTGGCAGCTAGGACGGGAGGTGTGCTCGGCTCCCTGTGTGTGTGTGTGTGTGTGTGTGTGTGTGCCCGCGCAAACCAAACGGCTGTCCTGGGAAACACTGGGTGATGCCACCCTGTGTGTGTGTGTGTGTGTGTGTGTGCCTGCGCAAACCAAACGGCTGTCATGGGAAACACTGGGTGATGCCGCCCAGCAGCCTGGGGAAGCGTCTGTCCCGTTACAGAGCTGACCTCTAACGTGCCTCTTGCAGGTGCCTCTCCGCTCCGGAGCCCGGGAGCCGGGATGGCCGCGGCCACTAGACCGGCTGTGCTGGGCCTGTACCGCCGCGTGCTCAGGCTGGCCCGGCGGTGGCAGGCGGCGTCCGGGCGGCCGGAGGACAGCGCCCGGGAGCAGCAGGACATCCTCCGAGAGGCTAGGACGCTGTTCCGGAAAAACAAAGGCGTGAGTAGCCTCGTCAGAGGCACAGGACGGAGAGCGGCTTCCTGTGCGAGTCAGTTCATGTCTGTCCGAAAGCCGGAGGGCTGAGCAGCCACAGGCAAAGCGGGGGCTGCGAGGTCTCTCTCGCACCGGAGCCCCTTCCCCTCCCCCTCCCCCTCCCCTCCCCTCTCCCCCTCCCCCTCCCCCTCCCCTCCCCCTCCCCCTCCCCCTCCCCTCCCCCTCCCCCTCCCCTCTCCCTCCCTCTCCCCCTCCCCTCCCCCTCCCCCTCCCCCCTCCCCTCCCTCTCCCCCTCCCTCTCCCCCTCCCCTCCCCCTCCCCTCCCCTCTCCCCCTCCCTCTCCCCCTCCCCTCCCCCTCCCCTCCCCCTCCCCCCTCCCCCTCCCCTCCCTCCCCTCCCCCTCCCCCCTCCCCCTCCCCCTCCCCCCCCCCCTCCCCCCTCCCCTCCCCCCTCCCCCCTCCCCCTCCCCTCCCCCTCCCCCTCCCCTCCCCTCCCCCTCCCCCTCCCCCTCCCCCTCCCCTCCCCTCCCCTCCCCCTCCCTCCCCTCCCCTCCCCTCCCCTCCACCTCCCCCTCCCCTCCCTCTCCCTCTCCCCCTCCCCCTCCCCTCCCCCTCCCCTCCCCTCCCCTCCCCCTCCCCCTCCCCCTCCCCTCCCCCTCCCCCTCCCCCTCCCCCTCCCCCTCCCCCTCCCCCTCCCCCTCTCCCACACCGGGGCCACTCCCTCTCTGCACCGGGGCAGCCCCTCACCCTTGCTGGTTGTGGCCGCTACGGAGGCACAGGGTGTGTTTGTGTTTGTGTTTGTGTGTGTTTCATTTCCTAATCTGTCAAAGCCTCGAGCATACCCTCTCTGAGTGGAGAGAACTAGGCACTCACGCCTCTGCCAGCAGAGCCAGTTCGTCCCACGGGCTCAAAGAAGTGGGTTCACAGTGCACCAGGCACCCGTGGGATGGCAGGCACCCCGACAGGCACCAGGGCCAAGAGCCACCTCTGCGGCTCCGTTTTCATCTTCCTGGGAGCCCTTGGGCGTCTTGGGGGCTCAGGAGACTGGCTGCCGGCTCTGACCTTGCCGCTCGGGGGCTCCCGGTCTGTGCTGCTGCGGCTCCGGAGCTCCGCTCCCTGCCCGCTCCGCCCGCCCCGGCCCCCTCCGGCCTGCGTCCCCCTGCTGCCCGTGTGTGTGCGATGCTCAGCCTGGCAGCTCCGGTGGTGCCACTCCCATCTGGGAGCCCCGCCTGGCTTCCCCCACCCCCTGCGGGACACCCCAAGTCCCGTGGCCACGTGGCCCTCAGCTCCCCACGCTCTGCCCCGGTGCACAGCCACGTGCCACCCCGGCGCACACGCAGCCGAGGCCCTTAACGGCCGGGAGGACGGGCCGAGCTGCTGAGCCTGGGTTTTCAGCGACAGCATCAGCCTGGCCGCCTCTGCCTGAAGGGCCGGCGTGTGGGCGGTGGCACACGGAGACTTGCTGTGTTGGGGGCGGGCCGTGGGCTTTCATTTCACACACGTGCTTGTTTTACCGTGTACAGGAAGAAGAGAGTATCAGGCACTTCCACACTTACCATGCTTAGGAGAGTCCATTTAAAGAAAAGTTGGTTTTTTTATTTTTTTTAAAACTTTTATTTATGTCAGAGAGTAAAGAGAGGGGAAGCGAGAGAGATAGAAACATCACTGATGAGAGAGAATCCTGGATTGGCTGCCTTCTGCACACTCCACACTGAGGATCAAGCCCACAACCTGGGCCTGTGCCCTGACTGGAATCGAACCTGCAGGCTGACACTCTGTCCTCTGAGCCAAACCAGCCAGGGCATAAGGAAAAAACATCATGTTAGTGTAGGTGGTGGGAGATACGCAGTCAGGCAGGCAGCCTCTGAAAGATCGCTGTCCAGTGAGAATGAGCTCAACTACGCCTGCTTCCCCAGGGGCACCGGGCCTTCTCCGGCTGTCTTCTCCTCACCGGGAGAGGGCAGCTCAGGCTCACTGTGGGGCTGTCCTCTCTGAAGGGCACGTTTCAGTCTCTGGCCAGTTTTCTATGTGGCTGTCACGTCTGATTTATAAGATGATTTTTTTAAAAGTCACATTAAGGTGCAAGCCAGTTGGCAGGGTGGGGAGCCCATGCTGTCTGCTCGCTCTGGGTTTGCTTTTTTGTGCCCTTTATCGTGGTTGTGGCGAGAGTTGTTGATTTAATGTGGTCTCTCATACGCTGTTCCTTAAATCGCATGAACTTGATTTCTCAAATACCAACAACAAAGATGGAAAAAATCCAAAAAACAAACAAACAAACAAAAAAACACTATACCTATTTTTTTTTGTCATATTGCCAAAAAATATATTTTTTGGTGTGCTGCAGAATTTTAGTAATTAGTTTCTGTGGCATGAGATGAGAAAGGTTGAAAATCACTGGGTATTTGAATCTAGAGGGTATATCTATGAGAATTAAAAATGCATGAACATATAACCTTTGACCCATAATTCTTCCTCTAGGAAATTATCTTTTAGATATATTTGCATGTGAGCCAAAAAAATCTAGAGGGATCCATAACCTATTTGTTTATAATGACAAAGATGGGAGATCACCTAAATGTCCGTCAGTAGAAGATTGGTTAAATTATATTGGAATTTGATACAGCTTTTCAAGAATGGAGCAGCCATGGCTGGTTTCGCTCAGTGGGTGGAGCATCAGCCTGTGGACTAAAGGTCTCAGGTTCAATTCCAGTCAAGGGCACAGCTGAGGTTGCGGGCTCAATCCCTAATAAAGGGCATGCAGTAAGCAGCCGATCAGATTTTCATTATTTATGTTTCTATCTCTCTCTCCCTCTCTGAAATCAATAAAAAAATATATTTTTAAAAAAAGAATGGGGCAGTTTTATATGCATAAATATAGAAGGAGTTTCAGTTTATTCATAGAAAAAGCAAGGTTCAGAATAAAGTGAGCTATCGTTTGTGTAAGAAAAAAATGTTGAGTGGATAAAACAGCTATAGTACATTTACACAATGGAATAGTATGCATCTGTAAAAAGAGGCTCTCTTACCCTTTGTAATAGCATGGATGGACTTGGAGAGCATTATGCTAAGTCAAATAAGCCAGTCAGCGAAAGACAAGTACCATATGAATTCACTCATTTGTAGAATCTAATGGACAAAATAAACTGAAGGACAAAATGGAACCAGAAACATGAATACATGGAACAGACTGGCTGATGCCCAAGGGGAGAATGGTGGGGATGACTAGATTAAGAAGGCGAAGGGATTAGCTAAAGAACATACGTGCAGCCCAGCTGGTGTGGCTCAGGTTGAGAATTGACTTTTGAACTAGGTGGTCATGGTTCGGTTCCCAGCCAGGGCACATGGCCAGATGGGAGCTACATCCCCAGCAGGGAGCCCGCAGGAGGCAGTGGATCAATGATACTCATCATTGATGTTTCCATCCCGCTCTCCCTCTCTCTTCCCATCTCAAATAAAAACCCACAAAAAATATATGCATACCCCATGGGCACAGACAATAATTTAGTAAAGCCAAGGAAAAGGGAGGGTTCAGGTGGGCAAAGGGGGAGAGGAAGGAGGGACTTCTACAATAATGTCCAATTTTAAAAAATATAATAAAAGCAAAGAAAAAACCTTCATGTATACATGTATGCTCATATATGCAGAAAATACACTAGGAAAACAAACAAAAAAACTGCTCGAAATTGTTATCCTTGAGAAGGGAACTGGGAGACAGTTAAGAGGGAGACTTCATTTTATAAATTTAGCCCACCGCAAATTTTATATTAAACTAGAGGCCCAGTGCACAAATTCATGCATAGGTGGAGTCCCTTGGCCTGGCTGGTGATTGGGGCCCATTTCGCCTAGTTCCAATCACGCTGATTGGTGCCAGGAGACTGGCCACCCCCAGGGGCGCTGGGGGCTGGCTGGCCACGGGGAGGGACCTCAGGAGGTTGGCCAGCCTTAGGAAGTTGGCTGTGGGAGTGCACTGACCACCAGGGGGCAGCTCCTTCATTGAGCGTCTGCCCCCTGGTGGTCAGTGTGCATCACAGCTACCTACTGGTTATAAGGGTTGCTTAGGCTTTTATATATATTATATTACAAATTGCTTTTGAATTTTTGAATTATCAATATTTAATTTACTGAATGGTAAATCAAAAGAGTTTCAGAAAATGTGTATCTATATTCTGTGTGACATTTAGAAAAATGCCCGTTTCGTCTTTCACCAGCTCACAGACACAGACCAGATTAAGCAGTGTATAGATGAATGCACAGCTAGGATTGAGATTGGACTGCACTACCAGATCCCGTATCCAAGGCCAGTAAGTGACCCGGTAAACAGTGGTGGGTACTCCTTTGCCTTGTGTTTGTCTAGAAGCTAGAGCTACTGTAGGAGGCATGTTGGAAGCAGCTGTCCTTGCATGCCATCAGCCGGTCACGACCAACCCAGACGCCAAAGAAGCCCATCTCCTCCGTGGAAGTCAGCTCGCAGTTACATAGTGCTCTTCTGCTTTTCACATTTTTATGGAAATATTTTCTTCTTATATTAGACAGGTTTGTTGTTAATAAAAGAATAAAGTTCAAACATTAAAGGCATGCATAAGATAGAAAGTGAAATTTGTCAAAAATTTGCACCCTGTGGAAGTGACTCCTGTAACTAGTGGGTTGACCATATGAAACTACCTATTTTCTACCCATGGCCTACAAAAAACTGCTGGTAGTGTTTTTTTGGGAGGGGAACTGGGGGATAGGGGAAAGAGGGAGACTATAAGTTTAATACATAGTAAATTCCATATTAAACTAGAGGCCCAGTGCATTAAAGTTGTGCACTGGGCACAGGGGGTAGGGGGCGGGGTGTCCCTCAGCCCGGCCTGCACCCTCTTGCAGTCTGGGACCCCTCGTGAGATGTCCAATGACCAGTTTAGGCCCCCGAGGGGTCCCGGATTGCGAGAGGCATGTCCAACTGCCGGTTTAGGCCTGATCCCTGAAGGCCTGTGGGAGTGCACTGACTACCAGGGGCCAGTTCCTGCCTTGAACGTCTGCCCCCTGGTGGTCAGTGCGCATCATAGCAACTGGACAACCAGTCGTTCTGTCATAATGGTTACTTAGGCATATATATATATATATATATATATATATATATATATTGCTTTTTACACACACACACACACACACACACACACACACACACACACATAGAGGCCCAGTGCACAAAATTCATGCATGGAGCGGGGGGGGGGGGGGGGGGGGGGGGCGTTTCCTTCAGCCCAGCCTGCACCCTATCCAATCCAGGACCTCTGGAGAGATAGCCGGCAGTCGGACATCCCTCTTGGAATCTGGGACCACTGGCTCCTAACCACTCACCTGCCTGCCTGCATGATCATCCCGATCGCTCACCTGCCTGCCTGCATGATGCCCCTAACTGCTCCCCTGCCTGTCTTATCGCCCCTAACTGCCTTTGCCTTGGCCCCTGCCACCGAGGCTTTGTCCAGAAGGATGTCTGGATGGATGTCCGGAAGATGTCTGGTCAACAAGAGCCCAGCTCTGCCCTAACTGGTTTGGCTCAGTGGATAGAAGGGTCCCAGGTTTGATTCCGATCAAGGGCATGTACCTTGGTTGCGGGCACATCTCCAGTAGGGAGTGTGCAGGAGGCAGCTTATCGATGTTTCTCTCTCATCGATATTTCTGACACTCTCTCCCTCTCCCTTCCTCTCTGTAAAAAAATCAATAAAATATATTTAAAAACAAAACAAGAGCCCAGCCCTGGCGTCAGACTCATCTGGGTTCAGATTTGCTCCCCCACTTCATGTCTAATCTGAGCAAATTGTAACTTCTGAGCCTTTATTTTCTCATCTGTAAATGCAGATGTAATTCCCCAAGATGGTTGTGAGGATTAATGAATGACTGTAGATGTAGTGCTGAGCAGACAGCATGGTATTTAGAAAATGCTCAGTGAATATAAACTGCTGCAGTGATGATAATTCTTAATATTATTCTTACTCTTCTTTCTCAGATTCATCTGCCTCCAATGGGCCTTACCTCACGACGAGGCCGGGGACTTCGAAATCAGGAGAAGCTGAGGAAGCTTTCCAAGCCAGTGTACCTCAAGTCTCACGACGAGGTTTCCTAATGCAGGGAAAGCTTGTTTCTCACACGGTGAGCCAGCCAGGCCTTGAATGTAAACCAGACGCAAGACCTTTCTGCTTGGTTGGGGCAAAAATTCAGTTATCTTCTTTAAAGCCTCCCGAACATTGGTGCTGACCGCATGCTGAGTGCTCACAGTGGTCAGGGCCTGCTGCCTGAGGGGATGCACTGATCCTGGCACCGCAGACCTCAGGTCCCCCGAGGGGGGAAGTCTGGGAAACGGCGAAGCTGCTGGGGAAGTGCTGGCTGGGCCTGCAGGCTGGCGCAGGAGCTGCCCGGTGCCTGGTTTCTCCCCCCCTCGGGATAGTGTAGGCTTGCTTTGTAATTACAGATTTGCTTACAGGTGGGCTCTCCCCCCGGCCGGATTGGGTGTGGCCTTGTGCACCTAAAGTTTGCCGACACCAGGCAGGACCCTGTCCGGGTTGCGGGCTCGATTCCCCAGTTTTTGCTCTTGTGCTGATATTTCCTTCTCCCCCACTCCTTTCCTCTCTCTAAAAATAAAAAGTCTTTATTTAAAAGTGGGCTTTTTGTGTGTGTAATGTCATCTTTAGACCCTCCCAATCCCAGACAAACACCCCTTAGAGAGTGCACCATGGGTTCCTCAGTTTCCTGGGACATGCTGAGACCCTGCCTGGCTCCTCCATGCGATGCCGGGTGGCACTGCCTTTGAGAAAGCATCGGCTACTTCATCTCCAAGCATGGACTTGGGATGCACTTGGGACTGGAAGGCTCGCTTGAAACTCCTACTGCATCCTTGCAAGTATTTTGCCTTAATTAGAATATGCAAGGGCAAAGCTGGCTTTCAAGTTCCCTCTAAACAGAAATGCAACAAGGAGAGCTTAAACGAAGGATTTACACTTCCGTGTGTGCGAGGGCCACAGAGGCAGCAGGTGAGAACTTCCTGTCCACCCCTAGATTGGGGCTTCCCTGGTCACAGACCCTCTCATTCAAAAGGCGTTCTTCCCTGCTCCTGGGAGCAGGGCGTTGTTTCCTCTGCTCGGGTAAGTGCCGCAGGGTTTGGCAGTGACAGTGTCTAGAGCTATAACTGCAGAATGCAGCATCACCCTGTTTAATGCTGCCTGGCGAGGAGCAGCGTGCAGATAACCATTGCAGCTCCAGGCCTTTTCGGGAGAGAACACTGACTGCTGGCAGGTGTGGGCCATTCGGTTGAGGGCGCACCCAGCCTTGCCTGAACTGGGAGGTATGAGTCTGCCGTCCCACCAGCCACTGCCCTTCCATCTTGTCTCACCATGGAAGCATCTCCCTTCCTGGAAGTGCTTCTAACATTTAAATGCCTCTCATTCAACACATCCTGTGTGCTCAGCCAGCCAATGAGATGGTGACCTGTTCTCGGAGGACCGAGTGGCCACGGCTTCCTGCCTCCACCGCAGTCTCAGCAGCTCAAGGTGACCGCAGCTTTTGTCCTCTGTTGAGTGTAGAGACCACCTTCCCCACCCAGCCTCCTCCACGATGGATGTCCACCTGGTTGATAACTTGCCTCAGAGTTTCTTCTGTGCGAAGAATCTTGCCTAAAAGTGAATTTTATATGCCTACTTTACTTTGCAAAGATGCATATTCTTTTTTTCATTTTCTCTCCAAGACAATAAGGTCTCCATGTTTTGGTCTTTTAAAGCAGAAGCTATCTTCCTATATCCCTTCTCTCAATGAAATTTCCTTCCAATACTCACATGAAAACCACCCAACACTAGATTTCTAAAGAGCAAAGAGGAGCTTGGTGACAAGGTTTGTCTGCTGCCACCTGCTGAGCCATTGGGAGGCAGGCTGCCACATTGGCTGGGCTCACCCCTGGCCACCTCTGCCCCAGGAGTTGGGCTCCAGGGTACCAGCCTCAGAAGAACAGGCTGCTCTTCCATGGAGAGCTGTCTATGGCTCCGGGCAATCTTTCTCTTCAAAATGGAGGAAATGCTTTAAGTTATAAAAACGTAATCCATTATAGACCCCTGAGGAATGAAATGGCCAGTCCCTGCCTGCTGGGGTCTTAGCACGTTAAGGTTCAGGAATCAGGAGAAGGGTAGCACATTAAGGTTCAGGAATCAGGAGAAGGGGCTGCGGGTAAGTGATTTGAGAGACTCTCGACAAGAAATAAAAATTTGGGAGGCATTTAGGGGGAGCCAGGGAGGCTTAGCTCTCTGGACCCAGGGCCCTTGATTCAGACATTTTGCCTTTAGCAAAGCAGATATACATATCAAAGGTAAGGTTTGGTAAACAGAGGAATTGCCTTTGGCTGTTCCAGCAGCAGGTGATAGTGCAGATTTTCAGCTCTGCTGAAAATGTCCATTCAACCTTTTGAGGACTTCTCCAATTTACTGTCTCCTGCTGGACTTAGCCCCCAGCACCTGCCTCCACAGCTTTTGTTGCTAAAGAGGGAGTTAGACAACTGTAACTAAAATGCAGTTGTTTCTTAACAACCCCCTCAAGCCTTGAACTTGCGATGTGACATACCTGACTAGTGCAAGGTTTGTGGATTCCATCTCAGAGGACTAACAATCTCACGTGGGACAGTGAGGCAGCTCCAGCTCTTTCTGACTTTCTTTCCCACCTGCCTTGAGCAGGAGGCCGGCCCCTCCCGTCTCCATTGCTCTGGCCAGATCAGCACTCCCCACAGGCCCTTCCCCTCTCCGGGGTCACTCAACTGGTTTGGGGTCTCCCAATCCAGAGGCCTGAACTTAGCACTCGGTCAGCCCCATGTTCCTAGGAAGAATCAAGGTTTTGAAATGAGTTTGTTCTCAGAAGCTTCCTGTGATCAGTAGAAATCAAAGGTCCGAGGCAGCCTTCCTTCTGGCGAAGTCGTGCTCCTGTCCCAGCAAGGTGTGTCTCCTGCACAGCCCACATCTTGCTCAGATCAATGGACGGCCCAAAAAGAGCCACCCAGAGTCAGTGCGCTTCGTGGGAGAGCTGGTTTGGGACGTGATACTCTGAGGACTTATTTTTATCTCCCTCAGGGTTCTCTTCTCCTGGGCCCTCAGAACAGGGGACATTTCCTGGATATTGTTGCAGCTAATCTCTCTCTGATTCCACATCACGTTGTGGAGTCCTCAGCAGGGCAGCGCGCTGTGAAAAATGCACGGGGTATACAGTCGGGCCGCAGCCAAGGCTGGGAGGTCTCAGGCCAGTCACTCAGTCTCCCAGCCTGGATCAGGCAAGGCATCTGAAGGCCTTCTGATCATGGCACAGCAGGCATGCATGACTATTGTTCCTCTCACCTCTCCTTTCTTCCTGAAGTTCCAGCCCATCTGTGCAGGCCAGCACCCCCAGGGCCGCCACACACCAGCTGCGGAACGCTGGGCTGCTTTCTAAGCCTTCGCTTGCAAGTGGAGACAGGGCCATACCTACCACCAGAGGGGGGTGTGAAAGTGCATTTTAAGCCTCCCATGAGCCTTAAAAAGCAAGTCCAGCCTCTTTCCTCATCTGAGAGGCCCCGATGTCAGCCCTGGAGACAGACTAGGAAAGATGTGATTGACATGCAATGTCAGTTACAGCAAAGAACTGGGGACAGTCCCCGGCTGCTCAGCCACAGGGCTCACGGCCCAGGGGAGGCGGCCTGGCTCAGCAGCTGCGGGTCGGGGACTCTTACTAACCTCCCTGTAGCATGATTTCTTAGCCACAGGACAAGGATGATACCATAACCTGCTCCAAGGGCTGCTCTCAGCTGCTCAGAGCAGGCGTGGTGCCAGCCAGCTTCCCCACTGCCCTCGTCACGCCCACCCTCCCCCAAAAGGAGCAGCAGATGCAGCGGCGAACGCGTGCCTTTATTTCGGGGTCTGGCAGAGGCTCAGCTGTCCAGCTGGCACAGGGAGGCCACCCCGCGGTTTATCCAGTGCTTCTGCGGCCGGTCCGAGGGCAGCTCGATGGAGAGCACGTAGTTGGTGGAGTGGCCCGTGGTGGACAGGACACCCCTGCGGGCGCTCGTCTTGTAGACGGGACACTCGTAGATGTCCTGGTGCAGGAATGCCGCGCTCCGCCCGGGCTTCAGCCAGATGATGGGCAGGGGATCATAGAGGATCTTGGGGAGAGACTCATTGATCTGCATCGTGCTCCTGTCCCAGCAAGCACCTTCCAGGAAGAGCCCTTTGATGTAGGCCCCGTCCTCCGGGCTGCTCTCCATGGCGGTCTCCTGCGTGGTCACCTGGAAGAGAGGGCGGTGAGTCCCGGGCTGCCGCGGGGAACGCGCAGCCTGGGTGACGTCCCCTGTCCCGCATGCACCCCCGGGACGGACGCCGGCATCTGTGAGGAAATGGCTGGCTGTCCACGCCGTGGCCCTCTGTGTGGGCCACCGTCAGTGGAGCTGGCTTTGGCCCTTTCGAACCCGGATCTATGCAGTGAGGGCAGGCCAGACCGTTGCCTGGGGAAGAGGAGAGCCGTGGCTTGTAGTCTGGCTCCATTTCTGTGGCTTCTGTGGTCTACAGACTCCCAAATGGCCAATGCAGGCCACCACCTGCTTATCCATCACTTCCACATGCTCTGGGGGTGGTATGAGCCAGCTCTATTCACCACAAGTTATTTACTTTTATTGATTGATTTTAGAGAGAGATGGGAAGGGAGGGAGGGAGGGAGGCAGAGAGAGAGAGAGAGAGAGAGAGAGAGAGAGAGAGAGAGAGAGAGAGAGAGAGAGGGAGAGAGAGAGAGAGAGAGACATCCCTTTTTGTTGTTCCACTTATTTGTGCAACTTATCGATTGATTCCTGCACGTGCCCTGACCGGGATGGAACCTGCAACCTTGGTGTGTTGGAACAATGCCCTACCAACTGAGCTACGTGGCCAGGTATCCACCACAACGAGACTCCGAGGTAGTGAGCTCTACTGCCTCCCAGTAAACACGGAAAGTGGCTCAGGTAGGAGAGCAGGGAGGGGTGGGTTAGGGTAAGACACAGAGCACAGCTCCACTCTGAAATCCCCCAGATTATAATCACTTTGTTGTTGTCAATGGAATGTTTATCCCGTTTTTACTTCTAAGTACTCATTGCTAGAAGAGGAAAGGATATTGATTTTCATATATTTAACCAGTCACCTTACAAATTCCCTATTCTTACATATATGATTTTAGGGTCTCTTAGGATTTCTAGATATACAGTTCATTTCAGCAAAAAAAAAATGTGATGTTAGCCCTGGCTGGTTCAGTGGGCCTGCAGACTGAAGGGTCCCAGTTCAATTCCATTCAGGGGCATGGACCTTGGATGTGGGCATATCCCCAGTAGGGGGTGTGCAGGAGGCAGCTGATCGATATTTCTAACACTCTATCTCCCTTCCGCTCTGTAAAAAATCAATAAAAAATAAAACTTAAAAAAAGGAAAACATTATTTAAAAATCTGTGATTTTATATTTTTTCTAATGTTTATCCCAGTTATTATTTGGATTAAGTATATCCCAGCATTAATTTTGGATTAACATTGTCTTCAGAGTTAAGTATATTCACAAACAAAATTGAGCCCAGGGCAACCAGTTTGTGAAGTCTGAACTAGATGTCTCAATCAATCTTTCTACAGAATTTAAAACTCTACAACCC